GGGGGGGAGGGAGGAAGGCACTATCCTTGGTAGCAGATCTGTTGAATGCAATAGGTCTTCTGATTTCTTGACTGCAGGTTCCATTGGTGTTGATTGTGGATCCAAGTAAAATGAATGTCTGTGCTAATCATGATATTTTCTACTATTCTAGCTGTGAACATTTTTATTTTTATGTTGAGTTGTAATTCATACTGAAGTCTCTGAGCTTCATCAGTGAGTGCTTCAATTCTTAAAAAGAATTCAACAAACAAGGTTGTGTCTGGGGCATACTTCAGGTTTTAATGAGGCTTCCTCCATTGTATAGTTTAGACAATAACCATATGACCCAGAAATTCCACTCATTGGCATCTATTCAAAGACTTTAAAGAGACTAAAAAAGACCTGTTCAGCAATGTACATTGCAGAACTAGTCACAATAGCCAAAAGTTAGAAAGCACCTAAATGTCCGTCACCGGGTGAATGGATAAACAAAGGGTGATGCACAGATAATGTATTCTACTCAGTCAGTAGGAGAAACAAAGTCCTGAAGCATGCCACAGTGTGAAGAGAATTTGACGACATTATGCTGAGCATATTAAGCCAATCACATAAGCAGAAATATGTATGAGCACACACGTATTTAAAGACAAAAAGTAGCAAATATGTAGAGATCAAAGTGGGTATCGGGAACAGGGGGAAGTGTGAGAGAAGGAGGTTCTAGAAAAACACACTGATTAAGGGGACGGTGGCACAGCTGGTTATATTAATTATTATCCATAAATTGTACACTAATAAAAAGTCGAATTGGCAAGAAGGCTGTGTGGTCTATAGACAGCGCAAAAGTGCAATTGTGAGGCATAGTCAAAATGTCATGGAATTTGGTTTCTTGGCTTGGAGGTTTGGGCTCATGATTTCATGGGGCATCTCAGTTAAATGCTCAAATAATGCTTTGCGTGCTTCTGATCTCCTTGTTTATTGTGGAGTGCAGGAGTTCGTCCTGTGCACAACCTGAACAAGAACAAGGAGAGTGAGGAATAGGAAGGGGATGTGGAATACATAGAAATCATCTAAAAGAACAACTGCTTGCTTTGCCACGAGGCCAGAAAAACTAGATGGTGCCTGTTGTGTGTTGTTTGCCATCAAGTCAGATCCAAACCATAGCTGATCCACCCGCTGGTTTTCAGAGGCAGTTAATGACACAGCTGGAGATTGCCCATCCCTCTACTGCAGAGCAGCTGCTGGCCTCGAACCACATGCTTTGGGATTGCAATGCAGCTTCTTGCCACTAAGCCACCAGAACTCCTAGATGATGCCTAGCTACTATCATTATTGAATTCTCCATGCAGAATTTGTTGAGTTGGCTTATACGCTACTGCGCATAAGCCAACAACAAAATAAAATAATTAAATAGAAACTTTGCAGATAACAAAGGTCCTGTCCACACCAATTGTGGAGACAGCACTGGATAGGGAAGCATTGTGTTCTGCTGGTTATGAGGTCACCATAATCGATAGCAACTGATAAGTATAATTTTGCTTTGGTGAGAAAAAAATCTATTTTACTTGATCTGTTTGATACCTTTTCAAGTTTCAGAGTGTCCTACATTGAAGAGAAAGAGGAGTTCCTGTTAGCTGTAGACATAGCTAGCCATTGTTTTCTCTCTTCTCTTCCTGTCATCAATTCTATGAGGTTTCTTTCCTATGACACTCCAAGTGGTGCCAGGATGGGAAGGACAGGGAAGTCGCACAGGGAGATGCAGATTGAGTTACACAAGGCAGCTCTTGATCCCTTTCTGTTATTCTCCCCCCAGGGTGCCTCTTTTGAAGGCTGGGATGACTTCAGTCCAATATTTGCATGATCTTTCATTGAGTGAGTTCATGGACAGACCATGCCCTTACATGGTATAATTTTCTGCTTGGTTCTTGTGAAAGTTGCTTCTTAGGGAATTTTTCTCTCTTCTCTTTGTAAATCAAAAGTCCCAGCAACATCATAAAAACATACTAGAAATGAACTGGGCCAATGGCTTTCAGCAGTAGTGAAAATACACGATAATTCATGGCCAAGAGCATCTCATTGTGGTAGATTCCATACAATCGTCTGCCATTACCTCCTTCCACTGCTCATTCCACACGGAGTGTTAACTCTGACAACACCGCGCAGGTGCAGGCCTTTCTTCCCGCTCTCCCGCACTCCCTGGGAGGGCACCACTTGAGGATGACTTACTGTGGCGTTAAATGAGGACTGCAAGAGGTTAGCGGATCTCGGGAACTGGCAAATTAGACCCAGGAAGTGAAAAGCACAAGAGTCTAGCACAAAGGCAAGGCCCTTGTTGTCTGTACAGCTTTCATGTTGTTGACTACCGTTGAGTCAAACTGACCCATAGCTGACTTTCCAGCGGGTGTTCAGCCGCTATAAATCATCAGCTTTCTCTGAGGAGCAGCTGGTGGATTCTAACCTTGGTTGGAAGCGCAATTCTTTGTTGTTGTTGTTGTTAGTATGTGCCATTGAGTTGCCCTGTGACTCATAGTGACCCTATGTACAACAGCCCTAAACCCTGCTCTATCTTGTGCCAATCTCATTGTCTCTGACACACCTACCCCCATTACCCCAGTCACTGAATCAACCCATCTCATCGAGGAACTTCCTCTCCTGCGCTGTCGACACTTCCACCCTCCAAGGACTGATTCCTCCAGTGCAACATGTCTGAAGTATGTCAGACGAAACTTCAAAATCCTTGCCTCCAAGGAGCAGCCCGGCTTCACCCTCTCCAGGACAAACCTTTCGTTCTCTTAGCAGTCCATGGTATATTCAATATCCTTCTCCAACACCACTAAGAAACTGCGCTGCAAACCCAAAAGCACCACCACGCGGTTCAAATCCTGCAGCTGCAAAGCGGGAGAAGGATGGACAATCTCCTTCCGTGCGATTGATTAACTGCCTCTGAAAACTGGCCCGAGGGTCAGTTATAGGTCGGTTCCGATTCGATGGTACACAACAAGAAGCCGCCAGAGCTCGCTAGATGCTTTTCTCAGGCTCTGGGGTTGGATATTTGTTGGGGCTGCGACTGCGGGTGCCCGGCAAGTCGACTGGGAAAGGGTTAAACGGATGCGTAAAGGACGAGTTGGGTGAAGAAGGGAAGACCGACGTTCCGTCGTCCATGAACTTTTTCCAAGTTCTTCAGGATTGCGGGGGGTGGGGGGCGAGAAAGGGAATGGCCGCGACTGGGCAGAGTTAGAAATCTGAGCTGAGCCCACCCGGGAACTGATAACGGTGTCTCTCACTCACCCCTGGACGCCGGCACCCAGACTCGAGGTGGGGACGCCAGACTCTCCGGCTTCGGCCACTTCCCAGGGGGCCGGCGGGGGTGGGGACGCCAGTCGGAAGGTGGGAGGCGGCGTTCCTCCGCTTCTGGGACGAGACCAAAGGAATGAGTAATTGGCAATTCTGTACTGTGGACCCCAAACCCGGAGCCCTTTCACCCCGGCCCCCTGCCGAGAGGCGAGAGAGGCCTGGAGACCCGGAGATGGGGTGGAGGAATCACGTTTCGGAGAGGGAAGTGAAATAAAGAGGGCGGCACCCGGGGGGACCCGTGCGTCATTGAGGGACCCGAGGCGAAGCGCAGGACGCGCGGGGCTGCAAAAGGAGAAGTGGAAGCGCGAAGGCGGCCGGGCGCCCGGGAGCCTCCAGCTGTCTCGGGCCGCGCCCGCGCCGCCTGAACCTCGTGGCGCTTCCCGGCCGCGCGCTCCGGCTCGGCTGCCCTGCGCCCCCCGCGCGCGGGATGAGGCGGCGGACGCTGCTCCGGCCCCGTGCGCCCTGGCGCTGGGCGCTGGCACTGCTGGCTCTGGGCGGCGCGGGACTGTGCCATGCCGGCTCGCAGCCGGGGCAACTCGCGCGGCCCGGCGCCAGGAACAAGTAAGTGAGCTCCCTCTCTCCGCGCTTGGGGTCCCCAGAGCTCCTACCAAAGCCCGGGGTCCCGGTCGCTCCTCCTCCCACGACCCCCACCACGTTTAGAAACGACCCTGTCTAAGGCAGCGAACGCCAGCGGAATTCTCGCCACCCTTGCCCCTGTCCCGGATCCCTCCTCCAGGGAGTCCGGACGCCCCGCCGCAGGCGAAGCGATTCCCGGGCGACCTCTCCGACCCGCAAGCACTTGGGCTCCAGGGTCGCAAGGAGCTGGGAAGGGCCCTTAGGAAAGGGGATCGGGAAACCACCCCGGAATGACAGGCGCCCCGGACCTCGCTTGCACTTCTTTTCTTTCCTTGCGCGCTTTCCTAGGGCTCAGTCTCGCACCCTGCGGTCCTCTTTGTGGGGCTCCCATCGCTGCGGGGGCAAAGGCAGCCCTTGTTCGGCCGCTGCCCCCTCTGGTCCTTCCTGTCCTCTGGGTTCACCCTGTGCCCTTGTCGCCCTTGCCCCACCACCCCCAGGAACTGGTGCGCCTACATTGTGAACAAGAATGTGAGCTGCTCGGTGCTGGAGGGGAGTGAGAGCTTCATCCAGGCTCAGTACAACTGCCCCTGGAACCACATGCCCTGCCCGTCGCTGGTGTAAGTGACCGGGGGGCAACGGGGGCGGAGAGGGGACACGCGCTGGCTCGGGACTGGGAGGGCGCGGCGAGGACCCAGCGGTGACAGAGGCTGAGCTCTGAGCTCACACCGCACTAAACCCAGCCCGCCGAGAACCAGTGGATTCCAACTCGTGGCAACCTTCGTTCCAGTCTCCGAGGGCATACCTCCGAGGGCTCGTGGGTTCGAACCCATGAACTTTAGGTCAGCAGCCCTATAGGTAAGGCTCTGTGCCACCTGGGCCCCTTCTGAAGCACCGCGGGGGCATTGAAAAGGAGTGCGGAGGAGCGAGCCTTGGGAGCCGGCAGTGAACCTAAAGGTGACAGAGTAGTCAGTTTGCCTCAGAAAAGATTTACAGACTTGGAAACACGATTCTATCTATGTGCTGTGGCATCGCATGGAGAGGTCGCCTGGGGGGCGAGGTGGTGCTCTGGCAGTGGGTGGCCCGGTGAGGATGGGGACATTTGTGATTGCAGAGACGGGACAGGCCGGGGAAACCCCCGCCCCCACTTCTCTTTTCTTCTTTCAATTTTATTACAAACATAAGGCAGCTGAACCTAATTAGATCCATATTGTGTGTTCTGGGCACACAGAAGATTGTAAAATGTATACTGCTGGAGACTTGTAAACCAAGGTTAGCTGCGAGGCTTGTGCTTGCTAATATTCTGAAACTGGTGACTTTTGTCCAAATACCCCCATGAAGCTCAACTGCTGGAGAACTCGGGAATAACTTGTGCAAAAACATGGGGGAGTTTTACATTTAAGAGTTTGCAAAGAGGTTATGAGTAGGGAATGGTCTTTAAGGAAATGGGGAATAATGAAATCTTTTTGTGTGATGATAAAGCGTTCATCATCTTTTCTAAAAAGAGGAAGGGATGCAATAGAATATAGATTCGGTTAAACTCATTACATTCATTGAATTGTTTTCTGGGGACTCTTTATGTGGAAGTCAGATAGCAGGGTTGGGCTGGTGTGAATGAATGGCTGTTGGGAAGTACATGCAATGACTGAAATGGATTGTTTCCCCCTAAGAATAAGTTGTTTGTCTTATAACACAATTGTCATTATAGCAAAGAAGCTGCCTTTGCCAAAGCAAAGGAACAGGCAGATTCTCTATTCCAGGAAGCGTTATTCCAGAAGGCAATAGGCCAGGCCAGGAATGTGGGCTGAGACCTGTCCATACCCACCCCACGTGGGTACTTGGAAATGGTAAACAAGAAAATGATTCCTGAAAGTTAAAAATACTCCCCAGGAGTTCCCCCTGTCTCTAGGGCATACAGAAACCAGCTGAAATAGAATTATTGATGACGTGTTGTTGCTGTTAGGTGCTATAGCATCCACTACAACTCTAATCATCGTCCTCAACCTCTCTGATACGCTCAAGCTTCACTGTCTTTTACCAAGGACTAGCCAGTCACTCCTGACAACATGCCCAAGTATGAGAAACAAGGTTTCGCCAGTATTGCCTCTAAGAAGCATTCTTATTGCACTTGCTCCAAGATAGTTTGTTATTTTGTTTGGATATTCAAGACTCTTCTCCAACACCACAATTCAAAGGCATCAATTCTTTTTCAGTTTTCCTTATTCAGTGTGCAATTTTCAGATGCATTGGAAGCAGTTGAAAACTTGAGTCAAGTGTGTGTACCTTAGTCTTTAAACCGACACCTTTCCTATTTAGTACTTTGGAGAGATCCTTGACGGCAGATATATCCAGCACCATGTGGTTTTTGATAGCTGGTGCCATAGGTATAAATTGTGGATCCTAGTAATATTAAATCATTGACAACTTCAGTCTTGATGTTGCCTATTGGTCCAGTGGCGAAGCTGTCACACTGAGCTGCATGAATTGTCAGAGAGCGGGAGAAAGATGGGCAGTCTCTTCCTGTGTGATTTTCAACCTCAGAAACTCACTGGAAAGTCAGCTATGAGTCAGTTCTGACTCTACAGCAGTGGGTTTGAGTTTAGTACCGCTGGTCAGAGGGGGCTCAGTAACCGACCCCAATCTCTTCATAGCAACAGCAGGACTCAGGTGTTTCCCAGGAAATTTGTACATTGTGGCAGAGACATAAACATAGGAGGGGTGGGTTTGTTTAAAATTGTTATGTGTCATCGAGTTGATTACGACTTGTAGTGACTCTATGCATAGTAGCACTGAACCTAGCTCTATCCTGAGCCAACCTTACTGTCTGACACACTTACCCTCATGACCTCAGTTATTGTGTCAGCCCTTCTCATCTGGGGTCTTCCTTTTCTGCACTGTCCCTTGACTCTTCCAAGCAGGATATCCTTCTCTAGAGACTGGTTCCTTCTGACAACATGCCCTAAGTATGTGAGTTGAACTCTCAAAATTTGCCTCCAAGGAGCAGCTTGGAGAACTTTCACCCTCTCCAGGACAGACCTGCTAGTTCTTTTGTCTGTCCATAGTATGTGCAAATTCTTCTCCAGCATCACAACTCAAAGGCATCAATGCTACTTCTATCATCCTTGGTCATTGTCTAGCTCTCTGATGCATAGCAAGTAATTATAAAGACCATGACTGGATCAGGTGCACCTTTGTCTCTAGGCTGACATCCTTGCTCTTTAGTACTCAAGAGAGTCTCTGACAGCAGGTTTTCCTAATGCATTCCATCTTTTGATTTTCTGACTGCTGGTACCAAGATTGTTGATGGTACTGGGGATTTTTTTTTAAATTTTACATAAGACTTACATTTTGTGGTGAACTAGAGACTTAATATTTGTGACAACTCAGAGATAACTCAGTTTTTCATTTTGGAGATAACAGTTTTCATCTAAAAGAAAGCTTGTTCTCAATTTCAAATATTTAAGCCATTTGGGAAACCTAATGTTGATTCCATTACTGTATTTAATTGAAGCTTGTGCTGTTGTTAGGTGCTGACTCATAGCAACCCTCAGAGCAAAGCATCTGAACCTTGTCCTGCCCTGTACCATCCTCATCATCTCATCTCTGATTGTTACAATCACTGCACTAATGCATCTTGTTGAGAATCTTTCTCTCTTTCACTGATCCTCTCTACCTTTCCATGCATGATAGTTTTTTTCCAAGCATGATGTCTTTTCCAAGGTTAAGCTCATTTGAACATACCCAATGTATGTAAGATGAAAATCTCGTCACCCTTCCTGTAAGGAGCACCTGATTGCATTTTCTCCAAGACATATCTGTTTGTTCTCTTGGCAGTTCATGGAATATCCCATATTCTTCTCCAATACCACAACACAGAGGGATTGATTCTTCATCTGTCATCATTATTCATTGTCCAACTTTCAGCTGCAAAGCAGCTGGATTGAATCAGGTGCACCTTAGTCTTGTTGCTTGGTGAAACAGAATTGTGATCAGTGCAGGGCAGGTGTGGACAGCCCAGCAGGTTAATGAAAACCAAGGATATTTTGCTTTTTACCTATGAGAACCGGGAGAGCCACTGCTTTCTAGTCAATTCTGACTCATATTGACTCCCCATCTGATTTCCGAGGCTGAAGGGAGGGTGTTCATATTTTTGCCTTAGAGCTGCTGTTGGATTCAAACCACAAACTAATATGGTATGAAACTGCACCCAAGAACTCCTTAGTAAGAGTATAATGGACAGGGAAAAAAATGCTATAAATATGACCAATGTTCTGGGTTTAGGGTTTTTATTTTCTCCAAACAGAGCCAAAATATGCAACCTGGTTATTTTTCTTCAACATTACTCATGTAAGCAAAATCATTTTATGTACTAATATAAATTTGAAATAAAAAAATAAAAGCAGATAATTTTAGTTGACTGACTAGGAAACTTGAAATTAGCATAAGCAGCCAATTTCAGCTTAAGCTTTTTTTAAAAGTTGGAAATAGAAAAAGACATGGCTTTTCCACTATTAAATGATTCCCAAGTTTTGAGGATTAGTGAATGGATGAAAAAAGAGAGAAGCGTTATTTGTGTAAGTCAGGAGGAAACATTCACTATTTCATGATGAACTTCTTAGTTGATTCTGATGATTCCAGACATCTGAGTAACTTCTCTGAACCCACAGGTATTTCCAGCTTTTTCATGATTTGTTTCTCAGAACATGTGAACGTTCTTTGGAAATTTGCCCTAGAATGTTGTAGCTGTAGAGCTGGCCCTCAACTGAACATGCTGCTACGCAATTATGTGCCGTCTGCATGATGAGATCTTGGGTTTTCACTGGCTGAGTTTTAGAAGCAAACCATGTGATCTTTCTTTCTAGTTCATCTTTAAGAGCCTCAGTGGCTTAATGAATTACACATTGAGCTGGTAACCCAAAAGTCTGTGGTTCAAGTTTACCAGCTCCCATAAGAAAATGGATAGTCTTTTCTTATAAAGATTTATAGCCTTGGAAACCCAGTGAGGAGGTATTGACTGGATGGTAGTATTTTTGGTGAATTTCTTCCAAGTTCATCTTTAGTTTCATCTTTAGCTTGGAAGACACACTGACATGTGTCCAGCATCACATAAACAAACCAGCCTGTGCTAACAATTAGGTGGTGTTAAGTGTTGTTAAGTGCCATCAAATCTACTACAACTCATGGCAACCTATGAGTGGTGGTTCTGAAACTTGTCCTATCCTGTGCCACCCGCATTAGTTTGGTCGGACAAACTCAAACCCCTTGTTGCAGTAACTGTGTCAATCAATTCTGTTGAGGGTCTTCTCCTTCCCTGACCCTTGAACTCTCAATGCATGGTGTCTTTTTCCAAGGACTGGCCCCTCCTCACAACATGCCCAAAGGATATGAAAGGAATTTTCACTATCCTTGCCTTCAAGGAGCACTCTGGCTGCACCTTCTCCAAGACATAGCTGTGTGTCCTTTGACAAACCATCGGATATTCAGCATTCTTGTCCAACACCACAACTCAAAGGCATCATTTCTTCTCTCATGCTTATTTATTATCCAACTTTCAGATGCATCACAAGTAGTTTAAAAGGTTGTGGTTTGGATCAGGTGCACCTTAGTCTTCAAGCTTACA